GTTCTCAGCAAATACTGTACACAACTGGCCAAAAGCATTACCTTGTGTCATAACCTACTGCATTACCTGCCACTCATTGTCAACGAGCTCCTGCGGAGTTTTATTGCGCAAACAGTCCACCAACTCTGTGTCATTGCCTCCATTACAGCCAACCAGCTTGCCTAGCAGTGTGGCCCGCCTGCGGGCCTCAGCGGGGCTGACTGAGGCCCAGGGACAGTTCGGAACCCCGCTCTGGAGGATGGCTCTGGTAAAGGTAGGCCGGCTACCTGGAGACAAGAGGTGGAATCCTACTGAAGCAGCACCAGCACTCTCACCAAAGATAGTCACCTGTCAGGTAAAAAGAGAAAAAATAGAGATCAGGATCAAAACTAGACTGTACTTGTGTAAATTCATTTTGTGGAAACAAGATAGACACTGTAAAATACAATATAAAATCTAACCTGCTTGGGGTTTCCACCAAAGAATTGGATATTGTCTTGTACCCACTGTAGTGCCATCCTCTGGTCCAGCAGACCCATATTGCCAGGGGCCTCAGAAGTGCCATGTAGAGCGAGAAAGCCAAAGGCACCAATCCGGTAGTTCATGGAAACCACAATTACCATCTCACTGTGAGCTAGGTAACGACCATCATACACATCCAGAGAAGAAGAACCACTGTAGAACCCTGAAAAATATAAAATAACATTGTATAGTATTAACCCACAATATATCACAATACCCCTGTTGTGAGGTATTGTGATACATTGTGATACAAGGTTTGCCGTCTAAAAAATACCTGCAGGGAAATTATAATCAGTGACAGTCTAAAGTATACAGATATACCTGAGGCTGTTAAGCAAGGTCGAGTCATCCCTTTCTTTTAATGATTTTGAGATTGCAATCCATGCTTTTATCACTTCTAGACTTGATTATTGCAATGCTCTGTACTATGGTGTTAACCAGTCCTCCCTCACTCGTCTCCAAATAGTGCAAAATGCTGCTGCTCGTCTTTTGACAAGTACTAGGAAATTCGAGCATATAACCCCGGTACTGGCTTCTCTCCACTGGCTTCCAGTCTGTTTTAGAATCAATTTTAAGCTGTTGATTTTTGTTTTTAAGGCTCTTAATGGTTTGGCACCATCTTACCTCACTGAATTAGTGCATTGGCACAAACCTACAAGGTCCCTCAGATCTTCAAGCCAGTTTCTTTTAGAGGATCCTAGGGTCAGATATAAATGCTGGGGTGATGGTGCTTTTACTGCTGCAGCCCCTAAATTGTGGAATAGTCTACCTTTTAATGTTAGATCAGCTACTGACCTGATTACTTTTAAATCATTGCTTAAAACATATTTATTTGGCTTGGATTTTAATACACAGTAGGACATGATGCATTCCTTTTCATTTTAATTTATTGAATGTATGTCATCTGTGTGTCTGTGTTATTGTGCCGTTTTATTTTTTGCACTGATCTTATTTATTCTATTTTTGTCATTTATTGTGGTTTTATTCTGCTATGTAAAGTACTTTGGTTAACTGGATGTTGTTTTGAAAGTGCTATATAAATAAATTTGATTTGATTTGAGATATTTACATTCATAAGTATACAGTTTAAAATGTATCAGAATAAAAAAAAAACACTGGTATGGAGAAAGAAATTCCTTCTTGACATGTAGAAGAGATTTAAGATAATTTTTGACATTCACAGATTTTCTTGTACTTGCTTACTTGTACTTAATGTAGTCATACTCTTACTGTAGATATAAAATGCCCATTCAAGTAGCAAAAGGGCTGTACTTGAGCTTCTTATTAAAGCAGGGGTGTGTTTTGGGTGTAACATGCAATTATCCAGTCAGTGTGTAACCTTGCATCCCCTTTATGAGACGTGTGAGTTTGAACGTTTGGTGGATTGCTAGCATACTGACGGACTTGCCAGGTTGGACGTCAGTAAGATTTTCCATTGAGGATACGGATCTGTTCGTGCACGAGGTGATTTGTTGATATTTTTGACTTTGGTGAAGATCAGATCACATTTCATGACCAATATTTGCATAAAACCAGGAAGTTGCTAACAGTACGGTTACTTTTTCTGTAGGTCAACTGTGCGGGTGACTGTGGTTCAGTGGGTAGAGCGGTCATCTGCCAGAAGGTTGGAGGTTCAAATCATGGTACCTGCAGTCCACATGTTGAAGTGTCTTTGGGCAAGACACTGAACCCCAAAGTTGTCCCCGATGGTTAGAGCCATCGGTGTGAATTGGCAGCTGCAGATGGCTGCCTCAGTTCTGTACCAGAAACAAATTCCTTGTGTGTGAAACATGCTTGGCCAAATAAAGTGATTATCATTGGGGGCAGCTGTGGCTCAGGACGTAGAGTGGGTCGTTTCCTAACCTGAAGATTAGCAGTTCAATTCCCGGCTTCCCTAGTCAACATGTCGAAGTGTCCTTGAGAAAGACACTGAACCCCCAGTTGCTCCCGGTGTGTGAATGTGAATGTTTGTGAGTGCAAATGGGTGAATGGCCAAGTAGTGTGAAAGTGTGCTGCAATGCATAGAAAAGCGCTATACAAGTATAAGAACATTTACCAATATCAGTTATTGTTGCCATTAAAGGTTTGAAAAGCTATAACATTGCTATTGGATTGCTATATATTAGCCAAATTTGGAACACTTAAGTATGGAAGGGTCCTGAAGGAGTGAGTTGAATTTCATGTACCCAAAACAACAGGGAGAGTTACAGTGAGTGTCAATACCCATCTAATTTTAATGCTTGCTATCTTTGTCACTGTTTCATGTAGGAGAGTCTCTATGACACTAAATGCTTTGCCCTACTTTGGTCTAAAACAGCTTTTTGATTAGTTGGATAGTTTTTTGAATAATAGGTGATTAAAATTGATGTTGTGTTTCTTAATTATGCATAAATCCTGGACCTATAAGTGTTCAAAAATAATTTTCACATCTTTTATTGTTTCTGAATTGAATGTGTTTTAGTTTTAATTCCCATAGCCCCTACTGACATTTTTCCTCTCATGTCTCCCTGGGTCTGTCGGACATACACGCACATTCTCATTCCTTCTCTCTGTCTCTGTCTTTATGTTTCTCTGTCATTTATTCTGCTCTAGGACTTTTACATATTATCTTATGTCCTGATTCAGCCAAATCCTAGACCTTTCCCCATATCACTGGGTCTTACTGCAACCCCACTCAATCAAACACTTTCACTGCATAGTGAAAACCTAAACTGTGGGCTGTAAAATATGCCCTGCTTTTCTAGCCTATATTTGTTTAAGTTTTGAAACATTATGTACAATGAAGTAGCTTTTAACAGTTCATTTTGCACTGTAAAATTGGATACACGAACACTCATCACTACTGTATATTACTTTGAAGCTAAAGAAATCTTGAAAACCTGATGACTGTCATGCAAGTTCTGAAGCATTCCAATCCCTGCATCATTAATTGTACACTATCTCATAATTACCAGAAAAGATCTTGTAATTATAAGATCTAGATCTTGTATTTATGAGACAGTAAGCCATGATTAAAAGATCTTTTTGCATAATTATGAGCCTGCTATTGCTGGAAAAGATGCACAATTTTTTTTTTTTTTTTTGGTGAAAGCAAAACCTTTAAAAAAAAAAATCACTGATGCATAATACTGAAAAAGAATAGGCAATATTTTATGCACCCTGCACTGGTGTGCAATGCACACCCTGGTGAATTCTGAATTCAAACATTTAAACAGATAACTACAGATCATACACCTATTCCCAGGCTCAAACAACAGCTTGAATTTCAAATAAAAGGTGACAGCTACTATATTACCTTACACATTACTGATGATCATTTCCACAGCATGCTCATCTATGCAATGTTTCCTACCTACTGTGCTCATTAGCTGTCACCTACTTCAAAGCAGGTGTTTTTGATGCTCTGAAAAGGGGCTTTGTATCTTTTCCTTATTATCAACTGCTAACCCAATGTCCCAGTGTCCCCACTGGAAGAATGAGCCATATTCTGAAAAAGTCATGAGAACGTACCTCCACCATAGATCCAGACCATGACAGTGAGATTGTGTGGTCTAGGTGAGGAAGGCACCCAGATATTGAGGTACAGGCAGTCCTCGCTCATCTCCCTGTTGGGATTCCACATCTCAATGCCTTGGAAGCCAGGGAATGACGTATCCACAGACTGGTAGCAGGCATTGGGGTAGGCGCTGGCTTCATACACCCCTGTCCATGGACGCTTGGGCTCAGCGCGACGGAAACGGCGTTTCCCTACTGGTGGTTCAGCAAAGGGGATGCCCAGAAAAGCGGTGACATAACTTCGGTCTGGCACTGGCAGGCGGATGCCACGTACTCGACCAATGCGTGTCTGTACAATAAAGTCTGCTTCACTCTGGGAAGAGCATGTAGGAATGAATAAAGACAGGAGGAGGACTGTGGCGAGGAGAAGAAGAACAGACATCTGCATGGTGGAGGCAAAGATGGTCTGTGTGGCTGAAGCTGTGGTTGTGATTCTTTCTCCAGTTAGGGAGGGCAGGGTCTGCAGATACAGGCAGACAAAAAAAAGAAAGTAATGTGATTACAGAACACAGAGTGAAGGAGAACAGACTGAAAGGGAGGGACAAATTAGATGAGGAATGGAATGACAGGACAGAGGAAGAAAGAAGTCTGGAAATGTTACCAGTGTAGATTGAAAATGTCACATTTCCAGCAACATTTGCTATACAAAGAACAGCTGCTGTGCTAGACCAATGTATTTCAGCCTGTGTCCTTTGTCAGGGTCAGTGTAAGCCTATTAAACTCCTCTAGGATGCCCTCATCCTCTAGTTGGCCATCTCTCTCAGCCCTTTATGGACATATGCAGTATCTCTGAAATCTGAGAAATCGACTGAAAACAGAAATAGCATCTATTTACAGTAAATGTATTTTAAAAGTAGCTCCCACCAGAGACGCCTAAACTAGCCATAAGCTTTTTAGACTTCTAAATGTAACTTTTATCCTCTAACTATCTGGGATTATTGATGTGGGGAAAGGGGAGGTGGGCAAGGTTAAATGCATTTGATTCTTACATATTCCATTTGTTCTTGTTTTTTTTTTTTTATTTGATATACCTTTGAATATTCAGCTAAGCCACATTGTTCAAAAAGTCTCCATTTGGAGTCAAATATATATATTTAATGTTAATTTGTGGTTTTTACAGAGTTATGCAGATGGAGGTGAAACCATAAACTAACTGAAATTGAAATTTACCTCAAAGTAGTTAAATCAAAATTTTAAGGATAAAAAATGTTTTTACTGGCTGAGAATATCATTTGGTTACCATTGGGGATATTTACTAAACCTGTTGCAAATTACTAATCAGGTGCACAAAATATTGCACCATTGCAAATTTTCAATTTAGTGGCCTATTTACCAACAACAGTGATGCAAATGAGTAATAGCCACAGCAGTGTTAGTTTGAAGGTACACAGTGGTTTATAAAGACCTGCTGCCTGTGCTGCACACATGTAGACTGAAAGGAAGCATAGAAGAAAGTGTAAGCTTGCTGTAGCTGAACTTTAATATGGTTGAGGAAATCAAACATATTTCAGAACTGCAACCATGTAGTCTTCTTCCAGTCAAATCATCTTTTATTTTGTTCAGTAATTAAAGTATGGTGTGAACTGAAAGCCAGTAAAGGTCCCTCATATTCCCTTCTGGCTCATTTGAAATCCAGCTCTGTCTTTTTGAGCATTACTGGTGGCAACTTTCACAATTCTGGCTTCAAACATCTTCTTTTAGACAATGTTGCACTGATCAAACAATAAAATATGCAAATCCTGTGACCATCAAACAACAACAAAATCAATACGTGTCTCACATTGAGAGGGGAGCTGTGTGCAATTTATGCATGTGGCACAGCAGAAGTAACACCATTAAATATTTAACTCTTCTGCTGGTCAGCTTTTGCACACAGATTTACAGTTTCTACAGTTCAACAAAGCAGCTGTGTTCAGGATGAGTCTAGCACCATCAAATCTGTTGCTACATTTTTATTTCATGAAAGTTCCAAACACTGATTCCTCTAGAATATGAGAAAATTTTGGAAATGGAAAGCTGGAGCAACGTGTTGGGGAGAAGGTGAGTGTCGACAAACAAACTCGCGGAGAATAAACGCGAAGAGGGTGTATATATGACAGGAGAGTCCAGGAGTAAACAAGCCACAGGTGGAGGTGATGATGGATGATTATGCTGGCTGGGTGGGATGGCAAGATAGTCTACTTGCCTCAGTGCAAAGCTACATCAATTTTTATGCATGGACAGGAATTTCAGTGTTTTGTGAACCATAAATTGAAAGCTAAAAAAGAAGAAGAAGAAGAAAATCACTGGCCATTGGCGGTGTAATATACACCGCCTACCCCGCCAATGGCTTGTGTTTAAAAGGGTCACTTCACTCACAATACCAGTAAATAAATAAATAAATAAAACAGAAGCAACAAATTAAGTTCTCACTTCTCATTAAATGCATCTGGCCCTTTATGTTTGTAGCTTCATTTTTGACATTAGTCTCTGAAATTTCACCAATATAATGCGGGGGAATGGAGTTTTGTTTGTGGTTCTACTGAAGTTCATTCTACTACTTAATTGGACAAGGGCTCCCACTGCTCACAAATCTCTATTTGTGGCCACTGGTAGTGCTATGGAGCTATTTTATTAGGTGTGGGTCCCAGTTTTCTTGTACAGTACCTGTGCACAAAACACATACACATGCATGAGCATGTAAATGACACAATACACATTCCTATCACTGGTTTGAAAAAAAAAAACCTCATAGAATACCTCTAGGTACAATTAGGCAGCTTATATAAGGTATTAGAAAAGGAGGTCCAAAGGAATTTGTTTTCTAAATTATTTTATGTGATAAAGTACTGGTGTATGCTAAATCTCTCAACTAAAATTGAGCATGCTTAACAGGGGAAGCGCTGCTCTGTAGTGCCCTAACATATTGAAAATTACTACTTGTGTGTCCTCTAATGTTTATTGTATGGGAGGAGGAGAAAAAGCATAGAAGAAGAGTGTGGTGTCTAGTAGTTTATACATTAATATATTATTAAAGGCAGAGCAGCATGTCATATAAAGCTCCATAAAAGTTCATATTTCATCTCCTGGGTGTTCTGTATTGCTAATTAACAGAAGAGGAGCAAAACCAGAACTAATGAACAGTAGGGTAATTAAATACCAAGAAGTAACACAACCAAGGAGAAGCAGTGTTATAATAGTATCCGCCCACATAGGAAGCTCTTCTGGTTCCTAGAGTCCACAGAAATGGGAGGCAGAGCCTTTAGCTATCAAACTCCTCTCCTGTGGAACCACCTCCCGAACTGAGACTGGGAGCTGGACACCCTCTCTACCTTTAAGATTAGACTTAAGATTTTCCTTTTTGATAAAGCTTATAGTTAGGGCTGGCTAAGTTGACCCTAAGCCTTTCCTTAGTTATGCTGCTATAGGCCTAGGCTGCTGGGGGGCCCATGATGCTCTGAGTTTCTCTCCTCTCATCTCCTCTTGAATTGAATTGAACTGTTTTATTTTAAAGGACAAAGTCCTGTAGTGGCATGGAGGGTCTGAATAAACTTTTCTTTTGACATTTATCATTAAGCCGTTTTCAGGAGACCGTATGCGCTTGTGCTTGCCATGGTGGATGAATTAAAAATCCACCTCGATTTAGGCAGCTATACAGAAAGCTTGGGATCCTGCAGCAGTTCTTGGTGGTGGTTGGTGGTTACAATAGCTGCAGTTTATAGATATATTAATGCCAATATATCTATTTTTTTTCACCGCGTATTATCTTTGATATATGGAAATAACCATCCGCAGTGTGTTAGTAGAATTATCCCTAATGTTTACTAAATGCCAGAACCAGGTACCAAATATCAACACAAGTGGCAAAAAAATATCTGTAAATTCTATGACCAGACAGGCAGATGTTGGAGTGAATAATGTTTGCTGTAGATGTTCAGTAATATTATTTTAACAGAAGCATAAGGCAAGTGGCCAGGTCTTTTTTTTTTACATTAGCATTTGGGAGTGCTGTCACTCAACAAAGACAAGGAGAAAGAAAAGCTGTCTCCTCCTTTGTTTTTATTGACATTATCTAGGTTGGAAAACAAGTTACAGTATTCACAGTCCACTGATAATATATTGTCATTCTATTTGCTTATGTGAATGTACTGTACTGTATAAATGAGGGACAGAGAAATGTGACATCACCAAAATAGAATTGCTATACAACACTGACAGGGAGTGTGTTCAAAAACAGTATCAATAAACACACACACACACACACACACACACACACACACACACAGCTGACTCCTATCCATTACAGTACCTCCAAGCTAATCCTGTCACTGTGACAACCATACATTGCAAAACATAAACAGCAACCTCCAACTTGACAGGTGGGAGGCAGCTGTCTAAAGGCACTGTTGGACATTTGTAATCAAACACAAAATGATATGACCTTACACAGATAATATAAGCTTACTAGCAGGTCATGACAAAGATCTATAAAACATGCTTTATGTTGTGGCTGAATGGTGATGGAGGTAAAGATTGGTGACAAAAAAAGGACAAAACACAAACAGTAATACAATTAGTTTCTTATAGGTGGCGGGCCAACAGGAGATTTCATATATTTAGTTTATCCCTATAGAGGAAAGACCCTGCTTTTTTTGCTAATAACTTCTACAATTTTTCACTTCTCAACAAATAAAAGAAAATCTGTTGCCACTCCTACTTCTTACCATCAACAATGGCCACACCTTTGTGGATATGTGTTGTTATGTGGAACTGATGCATTTACATATGTCAATAAAGTTTGCAAACCCTTACACTATGAATGAACAAAGAAACAATCAGCAGAGAGATAGCAGAATAACATGTTGCATAATAACATGCCATATGAGATTATATCGAGGTAATGTATTTACAGGTTTGCATCAATATCACCCTCAGGAATTCCCCCTCAGGTTACTGTACAAAAACAAATTCCATAAAACGTGAAATAACTACATGAAGGTTCAAAACAACTAGAGTTGTATGAAGTGTCTAAATCAAACATACATACATGTCTGTATACATAAAGACATACAGTACATAACCTCTAAAACAATGGAACATCTGCAAATACAGCATAGGATAATGAAGATATACAAAACAGTGTATTGCATGAAGTGCCTACATCAGATTAAAATGCCCACTAAAACAATGAAATGGATGCATATATTTAGATTAGATTCAACTTTATTGTCATTATACATGTACAAGTACAAGGCAACGAAATACAGTTTAGCATCTAACCAGAAGTGCAATGACAGCAGTGCAGAGTCTGCATTATCTATAGTATGTACAGTCAGAACTAATTTACCGATAGATATACAAAGTTGACATTTACAGTAAGTTATATAAGGTAATATGCAATATACAACAAACTTTATGGATTCAAATTACAAGCAATGGATGAGGTACATTCAGCTTATAAAACACTAGCGCAATGGGATG